TTGCCTTGAAATCGATGAAACTTCAATTATCCACTTCTCGCCTTGAAATAAAATAAAAAAATTCGAAGAGCATCGGGAGATAAATTATTAACCAGTCTTACCAATCGCTAGCTTTATTTTATTCAAATCCATAAAATTCACGAGTTTTTGACATTTGTTGGCAACTTCTGCGCTAAAAATGGTTGAAAATGTGGGTGTGGTTCTCTCGCAAATTCCCGTTGATAATACAGACAAATATGGTTCTGTGACCCAGGTCGTGCTCCGATCAGGTGACTTTCAGCAAATCAATGATGTTGTAACAAAGCATATTTGACGCTAATTGAAGGGTCGTCGTATCGTCCAATCTCTGGCGTTGATTCACTGTGCTGTGACAGGCTTCACAATCATTCACTGAAAAACATCGGTATATTTTGACAAACGGCTGGGATTTGACCTCAGTTCAAAAAAAGAAAAACTGGGCTGAGATACAAATCAGTTTTGCAAGTTGGGAAATAAGGTAAACCAGATTGGGGTCGATGATATTCAGTATCAAAGGACTTCCGTGTGTATAATGAGTTTCAAATTGTTCATCGACTGGTCACCAAATATTTACGGCTACAACTAAATGAACATTTAGCCCAATAAATTATTTCTGCATGTCAAGTGCTATTCGATTTGTTACCAGGCCTGTAGCTCTTTTTTATTCGAAAATATTTTTTGTGAGAATAAATACGTATAGATCGAGCTCAGGTCACTGATCGTAACTTAATTTTGAAAATTGGATGTAAAATTTTACCAGGCCGACACCACCACAACCATCCAATCATAGTTGGAAATGTACGCACTTGTTTTGGAACTTTGTATCAAGATGGCAGGCGACAACGCCGATGCACCAGGCGGCGTACACGTGTTTTGCATGTATTAGTAGTCCCATCGAACTCGGCTAAAACTAAACGAAACACAGAAAAATACCACCAAAATGATGAATCTGAATCTGTTCTCTTACCAGCAAATAAAATGAACGAAAATAAGGTAATTTTATAACAAGAACAGTTTCATTTCGTATAGCAAATTGTGTTGTTTCCGAACGACGATTGCATCGTGTGATTTAAATTTATCACGTTTTTCCTTGCAGTCAATATGACACTCGTCACCTTGCAGATTGCAATGTACTTCACATAGTTTTTGGTACCCAATACTCGCAACATTAAATAATTAAACAAGATATCTGTTTAAAATTTCATTTTACTATTGGTCATATTATTTTATTCCCCTTACCGGTTTGAATTTCAAATCGATTACATATCGAACTTCTGTACATGTGTTTTTCTCTACTGCCTTTCCATGTGAAAACATTGTGGTCATACTCATGTCACAATACTTTGAAGCTGATGCCATGTTGATGCCATGAGACAACGAAGCTGAGGCCACGATGATGCCATAAAATAAGAGAGGCGAACACAGCTTCAATTTTCAATGACGCGAAGCTGATGCCACAATGATGCTATGTTGAGGCGACAATGAAGCCATGCGTAGGCAACAATGATGCCACAAAAGCCAAAGCTTTCGCGAGAACTGTACTGTATTTTTTTGAGGACTAGTGGAAAAAACACCAGGTATTGAGGCTGGCCTATGGGTAGCTTATTTTGTAAGGACCGACAGGAATATTTTGAATGCAGGTCTGAGTGGCTTGTTATTTCATCAAATTGAAAAATCCAAATTGGATTAAAGGCAGGAGAGTATGTCACACATGTATGTCACAATTGCCAAAGTTCAGACCATATCTGTGTTTGGCATATTCAAGTGATTTATTTTTGGGCAGACCACTGAAATTCTAGGACAAGTTAGATATTTTGGTCAACGTCATCAACCGCAAACACTCACTGTGTATTCTGTTGAATGACATCATCAGCACCCCTGTTTTGACATTACTGTGTTAGTGACCCACAACTAGAATTATTGAATATAGATTTTAAAAAAATTATAGAAACGTTTGACACTTTATGGTGTATTTTTGGTTCATTTCTCTGTAGTCGTTTTGTCGCACCACCATATTTAAGTAGTGGACCGCCAATATTGTTAAACCCTGATAGGGTGATACCTCATACTACAATGACAAATGTAAGGTTAGTATTACGTCCACCTCATACTACAGTGACAAATGTAAGGTTAGTATTACATCCACCTCATACTACAATGACAAATGTAAGGTTAGTATTACATCCACCTCATACTATAATGACAAATGTAAGGTTAGTATTACATCCATCTCATACTACAATGACAAATGTAAGGTTAGTATAACATCCACCTCATACTATAATGACAAATGTAAGGTTAGTATTACATCCACCTCATACTATAATAACAAATGTAAGGTTAGTATTACATCCACCTCATACTATAATGACAAATGTAAGGTTAGTATTACATCCACCTCATACTATAATGACAAATGTAAGGTTAGTATTACATCCACCTCATACTATAATGACAAATGTAAGGTTAGTATTACATCCACCTCATACTACAATGACAAATGTAAGGTTAGTATTACATCCACCTCGTACTACAATGACAAATGTAAGGTTAGTATTACATCCACCTCATACTACAATGACTGTTCGGTCCAAAATTGTGATTCTCCACCAAAATGTTGACAAGATAAATATAATTTGTCATTATTTGTGTGTAGTTTTGTGTCTTTTTTAACTGAGTCTTTATTTTATTTGTGCTTTAGATTTGATGCTCACTACCAGCCTAATGTAGCATTGGCACCAGCAGCAACTCAACGGAAACAAGCTGCTGTACAAGATGACAAATTAAAGATAGAAAGTATGAGTGAGGAAAACGTTGCAAAGACTGAAGAGAAAAGTGATGATGTTGATCTGAAAAATTGTGAAATGAATGAAATTGAGAAAGAAGATGATGCAGGTAAAGAAAAAAATCATGAACGCTTCACAACCTGTTCTGTATTGTATTGTATATAGGTTCTATGCAATTATACTTTGTATTTCAGTCAGTGATGGGCAGCCATGCTCACATATTTACACCATGGTTTTGCCAGTAATTTGACTCATGGTTTGATCTGTGGTTTAACTTTAGTTTGACCAGTGGTAGAGGGTATTTTTGAATGATACTTTCTACCAAAATAATGCACTAGCTATATTTCCTGTATACAGCTGTCTCTCTGATCAGATTAATTCATTTTGAATGTGTGATTGCTTGCAGCATCTTTGGCAGTGATGACAGTACGTATAAAAGAGGAACCACAATCATCAATAGAGATGACAGTGGACAGCACAGTTGAACAAGAAATGGAGATAGTCAGAAATGCACTAGAAAATAATGCATTGGATAGCAAAGAGGCCAAAGAAAAACTACTGCATGAATTAGCCAAGTTGAGAATAAAACAAGAAGAAAGATTGAATGCTGCTTTGGTAGCAAAGAAGAGTCTTCAACAGGTATGTAGCCACCTAGCAATTAAAATATAAATGTGATGGTGGAAGAGATAATTATCTGTTGATAGATGATGGTCACAGTATTTGAGACATACTCATGTGTTAAATGACTGCAATGCATCTTACCTTGCCTAGATAGATGATGGTCACAGTATTTGAGACATACTCATGTGTTAAATGACTGCAATGCATCTTACCTTGCCTAGATAGATGATGGTCACAGTATTTGAGACATACTCATGTGTTAAATGACTGCAATGCATCTTACCTTGCCTAGATAGATGATGGTCACAGTATTTGAGACATACTCATGTGTTAAATGACTGCAATGCATCTTACCTTGCCTAGACATACTGTAGAATTAACATTGAATAGAAACATCCAAGCATATCTCGGAATATGTATGCGCCTTGACTTTTCTTTGCATATTCATTCATTCATATTTCATTGCATTGTTAGTACCATGACTTTTCATTGAATATTCATTAGATTGTGTGTGCCATGATTTTCCATTGTATATTCATTAGATTTTATGTGATGTGCTTTTCATTGAATATTCATTTGATTGTGTGTGCCATGTTTTTCCATTGTATATTCATTAGATTTTATGTGATGTGACTTTTCATAGCATATTCATTAGATTGTTTGTGGCATGACTAAAAATATGTTATAAATTTTTTCATTGAAGGAGTTAGAGTTCCTCAGAGTTGCAAAGAAAGAGAAATTGAGAGAAGCCACAGAAGCCAAGCGGAGCTTGCGAAAAGAAATTGAAAGATTACGAGCTGATCATGAACGCAAATTGAAAGAAGTAAATGAATCACGTCATCGACTGAAGAGGGAGTTGGAATTGGCGCGCAGTAAACGCTGTGATAAGATTAGCGAGATAAGCAAGTCGAAAGCCAGATTGAAGTCACAAGTGGAACAACTACGAAACAAACTTAATGAGGTTGAGAACGAGAAAGAGAAATTGAGTGCTGAACTTGAGAATGAAAAAAAACTACGAGATGGTTTAGAAGTAAAGACATTCAGGGAAAATGAAGAAGAGGTAAAAGAAGAAGAAAAGGAGACAAAGGTTGTTGATAAAGATAATGAGTAGTTTGAGACAAGTCTTTGAGTTCTCTGGTTTTAATGCCACCATGTATATTAGTTTCCACGGTAACACATATACAGATTTTGATGAGATCCAACATGGCTAAGCTGAATTTGGTTGCTTAGCTATCAGAGAACTTGAACACATGTTCCACCATGCTGTGTTTAACTACTGCATGCTGCATACCGTGAGTTAATGTCAGGGATTTCAAAATATTTTTTTTTATTGCCAGATTTTTAGATGGTTTGACAATATTGACTGTTTATTATGTAAAGATTTCAAATTATAAATTTATACATTGTAGATGGATGGTGTATAGAATAAATATATAGCCATATTTTTTTTCACTTTCTTTAAATATTATTATATTATATTATGATGTTACAGTCATATTTAAAGCCATGTTTTTATAGAGATGTAGATTTCCTTAAATCTTTCACTTTGTCCTTGTTTGGTTGTATCTCTTTTTTGCAATTTTTGTGTCATACCTTTTTCTTCCAATACAGCCAAACAATTACAAAGAACTAGTTGTAAATCTCAAGCTCAGATCATTTGTAGATAGCTTTGTAAGAAGGAGATGCCATTTGTACAAAAACTCTGGTTAAGATGCGCTTTGCAACATCTTGATAGTTTGTTTGTTGGCCATTCAGGTGTTATTTCACTTTGAAACTGGCTTGTGAACAATCTAGTTACAGGTTAAACAACACTGTTACAATGTGTTGGATCAACATGATATAGAAACAATGATACATGTTGAATATTTACTCAAATAAACTGTCAAAATGTTTGTTTTGTAAATTATCAATATAATTACTTTGATGTACAGTTTACAGCCACTATTAGCTGTATCTATGTATGTAGGAGAAAATAAATTACAAACAAATGCATGTAAATGGGGTGGGGTTGAGGGGGGGGGTTGCTACTAGCCCTAGAGCATGTTGATTTGGTAACAGTTTTGTTAATGGCTGATAGCTGTACATGGAAAACTTGTACCAGGAACAATGAGTGTCAGTGTATTGGCACACTGTTCTAACATTGATGTCACCACCA